GTAAGGAAAAATAATAATTCAAAACTAACTGTAGTCGTCGATGAAAAATTGTCTTAATACTAGAGCCGGTCAATATGAGCTAGTCAGTCTGGCCTAACTCATGATTTGATAGGGTTGAATTATGATTTTTGAAGTCCTTTTTTTTAAAAAAAAATTAATCCGACCTAAATAAGCTTGACAATTTGTGGGGTTTGAGAAATATGCATGAGACCTGTCCGTGGAACAAATAAAAATTAGTTAAAAAATAAAATAGAATAATAAAAATAAAAAGTGTCTAAACTCCAAATTAGTTTAAATTTGAAATATTAAAATTTAAATATAGATTATGTTTGTAAATACATAGGCATAATCTATGAAATATTGTCATAATTTGTGTGTTTATTATAATCATTGAAAAACAATTAGGTTAGTATTTTTATTTAGCTATTTATGTTTTTACTTGAAATCAAACTTAATAAATTGTCAAGACCCAAACTGAGTCGTGATTGGCACCCACACTTAACCTCCGAGGTGGGTGAACCAACAAATTTAATCCCAACTTACAAAATACAAGCATAATGCGGAAGCTCAAAATCTTATTAAATATCATTTTTCAAAACCTGAAATTCATCACAACAAGGACATCTAATCTTCAGTTACTAAATCTGAGAGTATCAAAAGACACCAAAATAAATGAATACAATAGTTTATGTCCGAAAACAAAGGACCTCATGCCATGACCAAGAGAATCCAACACAGTCTTGAATGAATAGCTCACCCTGTAACCTGATATGTTGGAGATTGACTAGAGTTGAGGGCAAGTCAAGACAAAGGGTGCGAGCTATTGTTCTCTCGCCTACTTTTCTTTCTTCTCTCTTTTATAGATTAATATCTTACCCTAATTATTATATACGCCTAATTATAAAAGCGATAAAATTAAAGCAGCCCGCTACTATTAATTTTAATGTTATTTCTTTAACCACCAATACAATAAATTATTAAAAGTACCCCAACTAATTTCATAATCATAATTAAAAATAGTCCAAAACACCCATTTAGAATCTATCAAAAAATATTTTATCAAATAAAAATCTTTAATACTCAAAACAATCAAATGGGTCGTTACATAAATATTATTAAGATAATTTTATTTGTGGATTTGATTAACAAGTAGTAACATCAACACTAACACGATGTAATATTATCTTGTCGAAATTTATGATACCATTTTTAAATTACAATTTTATATAAAAGTTATTTAAAAAAATATTTTTCGAAAAGAGAACTGGCCCAACAAGCCCATATACTTGTGGGCTGTGCAGATAATTTTCTATCCCAAGTCAAAATGGGCATATTTTTTTTTTATAAAAAGCTAATCCAGCAAACCCGTAATCCACATACTTGTGAACTGAGCTGATCTTTTTTTAGCCCACGCCAAAATGGGCTAAACCATCTTGGCCCCTTAAATTTCAAAGGTTGTATAGATTAATCGAGATGGAGTGGGTTAGTCAATAATGACAACTCTACTCAATACTTGAACAAGTGATATAAAACAAACCATTCAAAAGTGACTCTAATTGTCTCAATACTTGAATGATTATATAAGGGAAAAAATAATTTAAAAATAAATCTAATTAATGGAATCTTTCCGATCCTTGAATGATTTATAAGAAAAATAAAAATTTAAACGTTACTAATTAATAAAATCTTTTTAATAGTTGAATGACCAAGAAAAAATAATAATTTAAAATGATTTTTATGAATTCTTTTTAATACTTGAATGACCGTATAAAGATGAAAGTAAAAAAAGGGTCCCAAAAAGAAAAAAGTCAACAATAATTTTAATAAAATATACTTTAATTCTTCATTTAGTATACCATAATATGTAAGAAATTAACTTAATCATATCTAGATTTTAATAAAGACAAAATATTATTTATATTATTCACCTCTATACATAAGCTAGCTAAACTAGAAAAAAAATATTGTAACAAACAAATTTACAATGAATTCGATAAAATATTTGTCCATTTTATTCATCGTCTTATATATATCAACATCGACTGTTGATAGCTTTGTTAACCATTGGGAAGTTCATATAGTTAATACTCTACCAAATGATGATATACCTCTGTGGTATCATTGTGCATCCGGAAATCACAATTTTGGATATGATATACTTAGAGTGGGCCAAAATTTTCATTTCGACTTTAAAGTGAATTATCCGTGGAAGACCACGCTATTCTTTTGTCATTTTTGGTGGGGTGAAAAAGAAAATTCATTCGATGTTTTTAGTAAAGGCTTGATGAAGCATATTTGTTCTAATGTACGTGATAAGATCCATAGTTGTTTCTGGAAAATACAAGAAGATGGTTTTTTTGCTGGTCCTCGACTTGATAAAGTAAAATTTATGCATCTTTGGTTTTGAATAATATGGAATAATATTAATTTTGGTCCTTAAATTATTAACAAATTTTGCTTTTTGGTTTTATTTTTATTTATTATGTTTTATTTTGAGTTAATTTAATTAATTTTTGAAGTTAAATTATATTAAGTTAATTTGTTATTTTAAAGCTAGATGTTTAAAAATTATTCGAAAATATTATAAATCGTAATTCTTCTTATATTAATGAGTATAAGTAAATAAAGAAATGTATGGTTCAACATGTTTAATTTTCAATTAATAAAAATGAAAGTTGAAAATCAAAAACATACTTAAATTATTATTTTTTGTTTCATACCTAAATGTTTAATTCTTTAGTTTGAGTAGGGGTGTTCGTAGTTTGATTTGGATCGATTATTGGTTAAAATCAAAATCAAATTAATTTAATCGGATTTTTAAATTCCTATAACCAAATCAAAAAAATAACCATCGGTTTGGTTATTGATGATTTGGTTTAGATTTTTTGGTTTATTCGATTTGAAAACAATAATTTTTTTTTGGAAGTATGAATCTTGATAGACTCAAACACTAAGTACATGAAGAATCTACAGAAAAGTTAATGTCAATTTAGTCAAACAATTAAGTAATATTAGAGTTATCATTGCACGAACAAAGTGATTCATTTAAGAGAAAGTGTGACTATTTTATGTGAAGTACAATAGGTAAATACTAAAATAGATTTTGGTGGATTTAGATTTGAGATTGTTATAGTTGGACTAAAGCATTGGGCTTGAGAAAATTGTAAAGTTAAAGACTTAAGTTATTCAAAATTTAACAAAATATTTTTGATTTACTTATGAATAATATATAAATAATTATAAAGTTTATATATCTAATTTGTCGGTTTGATTTGGTTATTTTTGCAGTTGTTTTTTAGTAAAATCAAAACCTAACCAAATAGTATCGATTTTCCAAATTTAAAAACCAAATCTAATTAAACTAAACCAAAAATCAATTTTTTAAATCCATTTGATTCGAAATGCGTTTGGTTTGGTTGTTAACCATAACCATGAACAATCCTAAGTTTGAGAACACATCTCTCTATTTTATTATACTCTCTTGATAGTCGCTTTCCTTTATTTAAAAAAATTGTCAAATAACACAACACATGAACAAAATATTTTATCGAGACAAAAATTAAATAAATTATTAGTATTAATTTAAAAATAAAGTGTGAACATACATAATAATGATAATAATAATAATAAAACAAAATTTTGTTACTCTACTCCACCCCGCTTTCAAAATATAATAATCTTGATTTTTTTTTAAAAAATAAATTAATTTTTACACACCCTGTATAATCGTTTAATTCTATATTTTTTATTTGTGTTAGATATATACATATGCATTTATCAAAGTATTTTTTACTTATCGTGAAATTAAATTCCCTTAAGTTTCTAAGAATCACTACATAAGCCATAACTTATGAAATATTGTCATAATTTTTGTTTTTATTATAATAGTTGAAAAACAATTAGGTTAGTATTTTTATTTAGCTACTTATGTTTTTACTTGAAAGTCAAACTTAATAAATATTATAATGATAATTTTATTTGTGGATTTGATTAACAAGTAGTAACATCAACACTAACACCATGCAATATTATCTTGTCGATTTTAATGATACTATTTTTAAATTATAATTTTATTTAAAAATTTTAAAAATATATATATTTTTACGAAAAGAGAGCTGACCTGGCAAGTCCGTAGCTCACTTACTTATGGGCTGAACCAATTATTTTCTAGTCCACGTCAAAAATGGGCTAACCCGACATGACCCTAAAATTTCAAAGTCTATATAAATTAGCCTGAATGAAGTGAGTCAACCAACTCATATTGACAGCTCTATTCAATTCTAGAATGATCATATAAGGAAAAATAATAATTCAAAATGACTTTAATTGATGAAATCTTCTCAATACCTGAATAATCATATAAAAAAATAATTTTAAAATGACTCTAATTAATGAAATATTCTTTATACTTGAATGATCTATGGGAAAAAATAACAATATAAAAGTTACTTTAATTGATCGAATCTTTTCATATTTGAATGATCAACGAAAAATAATAATTTAAAATGACTTTTATGGATTCTTTTTCAATACTTAGATTGACCATATAAAGATGAAAGTTAAAAAAAAAAATGGTCCAAGGAAAAAAAGTCAACAATAATTTTAATGAAATTTTCTTTTAACATTTAATTTAGTAGACCATAATACATAGAAAATTAACTTGATTTTATCAACATTTTGATAAAAGACAAAATATTATTTATTATTCGCCTCTATATATAAGCTATCTAAACTAGAAAAATATTATAACAAAGTATCATGAATTCAATAAAATATTTATCCATTTTATTCATCATCTTATATATATCAACATCAACGGTTGATAGCTTTATTAATCGTTGGGAAGTTCATATAATTAATGATCTACCAAATAATGATATACCTCTATGGTATCATTGTGCATCCGGAGATACAGATTTTGGATATCATATTCTTAAAGTGGGCGAAGATTTTCATTTTGAATTTAGAGTGAATATTCCTTTAATGTCCACACTATACTTTTGTCATTTTTGGTGGGGTATTAATCAAAACGTATTCGATGTTTTTAATAAAAACTTGATGCTACATATTTGTTCTAATGAAGGTGATAAGGTCCATAATTGTTTCTGGAAAGTAGAAAAAGATGGATTTTTTGCTGGTCCTGGATTTTATGAAGTATTATATATGCATCCTTGGTTAAAAAATTAATAATAAATTTTGATTTTTGGTTGTTAGTGTTATATTATTTTTGTTTGTTTTTATTTGTTATGTTTTATTTTAAGTTAATTTAATTAATTTTTAAAGTTAAATTAAATTAGATTAATTTTTTATCTTAAAATTATTCGAAAAGTATTATGAATTGTAATTCTTCTTATATTAATAATAAGATGTAAGAGTATATCCATATAATTTGGTTCTCGAGAACCAAACATGTAATAAGTACAAGTAAATAAAGAAACGTATGGTTCAACATGTTTAATATTCAGTTAATAAAAATAAAAATAAAATGTTAAAACGCAGTTAAATTATTATTTTTTTCATACTTAAGCTATAACTTGTTAGTTTGAGAACGCATCTCTCTATTAAATACTCTCTAGATTGTCGCTCTCCTTTATTTAAAAAAAATTGTCAAATAACACAACATATGAACCAAATATTTTACAATGACAAAAATTAAATAAATTATTAATATTAGTTTAAAAATAATATATATGTATATTATATAATTTTTTTAATACTGAACAAAATTATCTTACCCAACTGTCTGATATATCTCTCGACTTTATCATTCAGAGTTGATATATTCCTCGTTATGAAAGTGACTTATATATAACCCTACTTATTTATAAACGGCTCACATATACTTTTTTTCTCTAACTGAAATAAAAATTAGTTTTATTTTTTAAAAAAAATATAACCCCATATGGATTTATTTAATCCTCCTCAAATATTTTTTTTAAAATAAATTTTTCTGACTTTTTCTTTTATTTGAATGACTAATTCATATTTATTATTTTGATGGTAAAATTTATTTATATTATACTAATAGTCTTGTAAAACTTTGTATAGATGACTAAATTTTTTCTTCAAATACAAAAATTAGACTACAATATAGACAAAAAAATTTTAAGTTATAATAGCCACAAAAAAATAGTTGAATTTTTTTTAATAATAATTTTAAGTTATAATAGCCACAAAAGAATAGTTGAATTTTTTTAAACTAAAGAGTAATGAAAAAAATAAGAATAAGAATAAGAAACTCAAATAATGATAATCAACAAAGTCAAAAAAAATTATGTACGAAAAAAATTAAAATATAAATTAAACTTTGCCATAAGAATTATATAACCCCTATATGATTTTTTTTTTTGAAAAAAAAAAGTCAAATATATAAATATAAAACTAATTTTTTACTTCTAATAAATGAAGGGTATATGTGAGCTATAAGGATATATGATTCACTTTCGTAACGAAGAGCATATCAATTCTAAAAAGTAAAATTGAAAGGTATATCGGATCATTTTCTCAATATTTAATAAGAGAAATTTATTTCATACTAGAGAAGAAATATATAATATTTTGTAACTTACTAGTTAATTACTACTCGAGATACTAGCTAGAACTAAATTAACTTCAATATCAATTGTTTTTTATATGAATTTTCTTTCATTTACCTCTCTTTAAAATGATATAATTAATAGTACATTTTGTCAAATATGTAAAATTAATTTATTTTGAAAGTATAAAAAACAATTTGTGTCTCTTCTAGTAAATTTGATTTTAATCCTATAATATCTAAGTGAGCACAGTAAATTTTTAATTAATTAAATTATGCAATAATCTGTTTGACCAAGTCTTTAAAAGACAAAAATACTTATTTTTAAAATGTAATATGTTTAGTCAAATTTTGAAAAAAAAACATATATTTCTTTTCTAATTAAATTAATTAATTACAAAGTTGAAAAATTACAAATTATAGCACAATCTAACACCTAATTCAACTACCAAAGTTGACCAATAGAATAAATCTAGTCAATTGAGTGGCGGATTCAAAATTTTTGCTCAGGAGATTCGAAAAATAAAAATATAAACGTGTAAATAAGTCTTTCAAAATTGACCCTTTGAATTTTTTTGAGTTTAAAACCATACCTTTGAGAACCTTTCCGAGCGTCTGTCTTCGCGGGGCGATTGGAAAAGAAAGGAGTATTTCATTCTTTTACTGCCTTCCATTCCACTATTCTGATCGAATTAATTGCTCTTCCGAACAACCAAGTCATAATGAGATTAAAAACCGATGCTTCCTTGGCCGTGTGGAACATGGATTAGCATTATGTCATTCCTACAAGTGATGACCCACCCAGGAGACAAGTTTGAGCATGTAGTTAGATATTCAAGGGATCTTATTTTTTATTCGTTATTAAGGAAATTCAAAATATATGCATCTACAAAAATACAATTTTTTTTTAAATTATATATATCGTGTATTACACCCTCGACCCAACGTGAGTCCACCCCTGAGTCAACTTAATAAATTTAATTTTATCTAGATTTTATTTTAATCAAAATCATTAATGATTTATCCCTATAAAATGTAGCTAAAATAAAAAAAATTATTACAAAACAATCAACAATGAGTTTGATAAAAAACTTTTGCATTTTACTCCTCACATTATATATTGTTAATATCACTCCAGAAGCAACAAAGGTTGAGAACGGTGTATATTTTGAGGTTCATATTATTAATGATCTCCCCGATAATAATATACCTTTGTGGATACACTGTAAATCGAAAACTCATGATTTTGAAAATCGATTACTCAAAGTGGACGATGATTTTACTTTTAAGTTTAAGTTGAATCTTTTTAAAACCAATCTTTATTTTAGTCATTTTTGGTGGGGTAAAAAGCAGAATGTATTCGATGTTTTTAATCGGAACTTAAAAGATTATTGTGGTTATCCCGAGGCTAAACTTCGTACTTGTTATTGGAAAGTACAAGAAGATGGATTTTATTTGGGTTCTAATATTGATATTACTGAGAAATTGCATGATTGGCAATAATAATATTTGAAATTATTGAGAGTGAAGAATTATTGTTAAATTTCTCCTCTTTTGATTCTTGTGTTATTATATTATATGATTCAAAAATTTTATTTTTCAACCTTTAATTAATTAAAAATAACGTGTATTACTGGTCTTATGTCATATATTTAATTATGGTATGTACATAGATTTTTCAGTAAACGATGTTGATATTTATGAAATTAATTGTTAATGAAATTAGGGGCAAATCCTTTTTCTCAATGTAGATTTGCCTCTAATTTTACTAGTTATAGAATTATATTATCGTCAAATTAAAATAAATTTTAATTAATAATATAAAATTAACATATCAAAAGAGTAATTGAGTATTGAAGGGGTTGTTAATTATGTTAAATTTACAAACAAATGGATCAAATTTCATAATTAAATTAATTGAAAGATTCATATGATATTATAGAAAATAAAATCAAAATTTATCAATAATTAAGAGAGCAAACATGTCGAACACAAATTGTTTATCACCAAAAGTTCAACAATATGATTTTGACATATTTGATCCCTTAGTTATTCTATAATGTTTAAGTAAACATATTAAACTTTCGATTAATTGAATTGTGAACTAACATATTTGACTAGATTTTTAAAAAGCCAAATAAATAAAATAAAGTATTTAATTAAATTTTTTTTTGGAGAAAAGAAGTAACTAGCTTTTTCACTTAAAACACGAACCCAACTTTAAAAATTCAAATAAAAAAGACTTGAAATCTATATTGAAGCGGTAAAATAATAATTTCACGTAAATTTTAAATAATGACCAATTAGGTAATTGAATTATTACTACTATTAACAAACATCAACCATTACATTCAATACCACCTTAACTACGTATCAACTCCCATCATCATTAGCGAACATAAATATTTCATTTTCTTATTGAATTGTAATTTTATTTTATTAGGTTTATACTTTTTCACATGTATTAAATTGTATATTTATTATGTTTATAAGCAAAAAAACTATGCATATTCAGATATTGAAAATTAAATAATTTATTTTAATTTGATTTTTCTCTTTTAGATCATTTGTCCTTTTTCAATTTATATATATATATATATATATATATATATT